ACGCAATCGGACCAGGAAGCATGTAAGCGTTTCAAGTCGGCTAAATCATTGTCTCTCATCTAGGGCTCTCATGCAGAGAAAATGTCAAAAATCTGTAAAAGGTAGTAGAACACTAAAAATTGGGACAGGGAAATGATACTGTGCACACATCTGGGTCCCACAACAAAGTGTATTGTATGTTGGGCGACCCAGTAATACGGTATATGTACTAAAGTTGCGGATGTAAAATGCTAATTTTACAACTCAAGTACATCATGTTGTTGAAGACAATTGCCTTTTTCTGCAAAATCATCCTTTATAACAGTCACGTTTGAATTTTGCAAATATGTAAATTCTACAGTTCGGGGAACAGGGAACAATCGGCAGGCGCATGCGCAGATTGGTAGAATCGGCTGTAGTGGATTGCATAGCAATCGATTTTCAGATTTTTCACGTTCCCAGAGTATGAACACGGCCAATGTCATCTCTCTTCAAACTTTTCCAAATTAGCACAAAACGGACACGGCAAGTCTCCATTTGAAATCAGAGACAAAGTGACCCATACAAAAAGCAACCTGGGACTACATCAGGGGTGGAAAATATTTCAAAAACTCAACTCTCCCGCGCAAAATATGGTGCCTTTTGTTTTGTCTATGCTCCAATCGCGCTCAATTAATTCAAAAGTCGATATTTTATAAACAGTGTTTCCCAGGCAAAGTGAGACGTCCTAAGAACCTACTACTATGCCTCTCATCTCCCAGAAGTCACAGAAACTTGGAAAAGGCTGACGAGGTGCTAGGAGCTTCCAACTACGGTAATGAAAATGGTATGGTCGTAATTATGTTGCGATGCACGAAAAATTGCAGACAGTCTGACAACGGAAAGTGGTGAGTTCCTATGGACGGTCGGTCTTATTCCTACAAATTTGTTTGTTTAGTTGTTATATATATCGAAGAGGATTTTCTCAATATTTTGGAGATAAATGTTCCGCTATTTCGATGGCCTCAGCTTTCTTATCAAAGAGTTTAGGCGTTAGTAGAAGCTGATGGATGATTCTACGAAATCACGCTTGAAAGCTATTCCGTTGTGTAAAACTAAAGCCGGGCCACGGGATGGAGATCTGTGGATTGAACGGCTGAAGGTGAAAGATTTTTACTTCTCCTTCTTTACTTCTTTTATATTTCGCGGCTATTTTCCGCAAATTCCCCAAATTAGGGTTGTCAAAGAGGTTTTTGGCCGAAACGTCAACGTACAGAGCTCCATTTTTTTGGCTTGCTAAGTCTGTTATACTCGTTTTGATAAGGAGAAGCAAAAAAATGTGATTAAAGTTCCAAGAGCGCGCTCATACTTTGCGACCTGAACGTGCGATCCAAGCGATTGGACTGCGAAGTGTGAACGCAGTCCGATCGCCTTCGACGTCTTTTGATTGCCAGGAGAGCTGCTGTTGTAATTCCGAACAAGGCTCAGGGGGCAGATCGCTGTTTCAAAAAGAGGTGAATAGCTGTGCAACTACTTCGGCCCTCCGAGGATGGGCGGGCAGAAGGCTCCGCGGTAGGGCCATATAGTATCCAATGAAAATTGGAATGTGTGAGGTCCCAGTCGTAGCAGAACGATACCTCAAATTGCCAGGTTGAGTTCCCCACTTTGGCGGAGTTTTGAGAACGCGTTCAGACTTCGCGACCGCGCGATTGTATTGCGCGATCCAATCGTTCGAGCGATCCGGTCGCGAATTCTGAACGCGGTCTCATTGAGATAGCTGGACGAATAACAAGTGAAGCGAGCGTCATATTGTGCACATAAAGGTTGGTTCATATGATCTCCGCGCTCTCGTGAAGAGTACGCTGACCTTTCGAATTTTGAGGAACTCTGATCTGTTTGTTGTCCCATTTTTGTACAAGTACTGGACAAAATGAAAGCTTACCAGCGATGATGGAAAAACGTCTGCTCACTCTCATTGTACCTTTGGTCCCTCCGATCCTTTGGTCGAATTAGCGTGTTATTTGTATGTGTTTTGGTGTTGTTCCCTTCCGCAGTTTCATTGGTATAAAACTAGTGTACTCCAAAAACATTCAAACTTTCTTTCAAAAAAACTTGAAAAAGTCGAAAGAATTTCAGATGGGAGGGCCCTTTCCACATCTCCTTCCCACCCCTACATTTTATGGTTCTTTATGCTGTACACTTCAAAAGCCGCTCACTTATTTGATTCCAGTCTCTTGACAAGTTTTTTTTTTCAGGAAGAATACCAATCCATCATCAAATTTGTTCAAAACAATAAGAAACTGACTCGGATTGGTTCCGCCTTGAGTCGAATGCAGATGGAACGAAATGGTTCGGAAAGTGTTGGCATTACCACAACATGATCAAGTAAGTAAACTTTTATAAGTTTTGGCGGTGCTCGGCTTAGAGGAGGGCATTTTGCATATTTGGCAATTCTCATAGATTTCCCAGGTTTCACTTTGATAAAATTTGTAAACTCTTGTAAATCTGTGGGTATAAGTGGCCATTTTACTTACAATAATTTACATATCTTTACAAGATATCCTGTCCTATGTTCGAGTTCCATCTGGTGCCCCTTCCAAGCCGAACAGCTCCCTAATTTTGTATTAAAGTTTCGATTACTCTATTTAATAATTTGCATATTCACCTGTCATGGTTGTAAATGGTTAAATGAAAACTCGATCAGTACTGAGCTCAGAGCGCTTTGAATTATTTCATTTTCTTTATTACTGTTGTACCCGATAGGCCTGCGCTAGTGTTAGGCCCCGTTTATGCTTTGCGAATGTGAAAGATGCGCGATTCCGTGGGCGGGGGGGGGGGGAGAGGGGGGAGTAGGGGCGGCGGTGAAGCCATAGATGGGAATCGAATCACTTTGCCTGCTAGCTCTTTGGAGAATCCACGATTTGAGGTAGAACCGATTTTTACCAGATTCTAGGTCACCGTCTTTTGGCAGTGGCGGATGCTCTCAAATCGCAGGTACCCACTCCCCGTTCTCAAAATTTTAACACGACTTTACTGAGGCGGACAATACTCTTTTAAGTGTAAACCAGTATCGATTATGAATGTAGCGGTAGTTTTTGCCACGATTCATAATAATGGAAATGTAAAAATGCTTAGTCATCAAAATAACCGGTTCCATATTTGTGGGCTGTGAACTCTGGAGGACTGTTCAGACTGAGGCATAGCTTCAGGAAAATCGGTGTCCAACCTTTTGTTTAGGAAGCTCAGATCACAGAGCACTGAACAGTTGTGTAGGCAGAAGAAAATAATGCATTTAGCGGTTGAATAGACTGTCGGTGCAGTTTTTGAAATAACCCTTTACCTGGGACTGGTCTACAGCGCACTTTACATTATTTTATAATACGACGAATTTACCTTAACAACCTCACACCGGAGGATGTCTATGTTAGAAAAATTTTCAGATACGAGTTTGATGTTGAGTTTGACATTCCGATCACTTATCCAGTAACGGCACCAGAGATTGCATTACCTGAGCTTGATGGAAAAACTGCAAAGGTAAGCATCGTTCATTCCATTTATAAAGCTGTTTTTGAAAACAAAAAGGTTAATTTGCGTACAGGACTTGCGATTTGGCGTTATGGGAAAAAGGAAAGTTTAAGTGTTGGTTTGGTGCGATAAGGGTAGCATGGGTATCGACCGGCGCTGGAAGTGCCGATACGCTCGGAACACTTGTTCTCCTTTGAACACCGATTCTCCCGAAACGGACAACGTCGATCGATAAATATGCTATCCTTTTCGCTCAGAACGCTGAATGTCCCGAAGCGCCGTGTCGTAGAACATAAGTGCAGCCTTACCAGTCCAACTAAGCATTTTTGATTTCCACCTTTCCTCACGTTCCATGGTAGCTTCGACAGCATATTCCGCGATGAGAAGATGAATGGCCCTTTCCCCGTCCTCATCAGTGCGCACCTCGATCGAAGGCCGCTTATAGGAAGGACTTGCGGGTGTAGGTTAGGACTCCACGAGAGGTCACGGCTGCCATGTCTCGCCTCGCCGCGCGCGGCGATTGCAACTGATTTTACGAGAGCAACATGGTCGTGCGATTAAGATCCCGGTCCCTTCACATAGTTCTGGCATCACGCGAATCTGCTTGGGATTTTTCCAAACCAGAATATTCAATGGGACGACAGTATTTTTGAATGGCAGCTGTACTTATTCGACGGGTTGCTGTATTTCTTCAATAGGACCTACTTTACCGTCTGGCCGAGAATCTTAAACCTTACAATATCTTACAATTGAGGCCAAAAGAAGGATTCACCCTGAAAAGAATTTTCGTAGATTGCTGATGTATTCTCTAAATATTATTTCTATGTTAATGGGCGTTGTTTTATACTAGTAGTTGAATATCGGGCCCATTCCTTTCATAGCCTTCACACCTGCAAGTATAAAGCAGACGGTTGGAAATCTCATGAACTATGCAAATGCAAAAAATACATAGCGAAAGCATCGCGGAGAGCACCTCCGCGGCGGCGGCAGGCTGACCTCTCGTGGAGTCCTAACCGTTCCCCGGGACTTGCTAGCACGAGGTTTTTTGTCTCTTCCCATAGTACCAGCGCGTAATATCATTTCGAGTTGCATTTCATGATTCCTGATACCAAGCTCCGCTGATGAAGCGCTGCGCTCAGTACCTGAGGTGGGGGAAGGGAGAAGTGGCATGTTCCTACAGCTCGCCAATGAGAGAGTCGCAGCGATGATTCCTGTGTCTCAACAAAAGTAGAGTTTTATGCTTGCATTACCCTGTAAGCTACTGGAGTTCGAACAGTCCATGCCTCTCGTTGTAAGGACCCTGTGAAAAGTTGTGGATATTACGTTTTTGAGCGGTTTTTGCTGCTCTCTGCCTCTTGACCCAAGTGATTCGTTCACAAAAGTGGTACCAGAAGAAGCTGTCGGCTGCTGGAGCACGTCAAAAAAGCGTCTGATTTAGAGTTGAATACTGAATCAAGGCGCTGTTCGGCGACGGGGAAGGGGCATTTTGCACTTTCACTGCTGCACTAGTTCCGGTTTTCAGGTTTCACTCTGGTAAAGCCTGTGAACTCTTGTTAAGCTAGAGTAGGCTCGTCGAGCTACCATGATAAAACCTGTCAACCCTTGTGAGCTCATGAAATAGCTCCGTGGTTAGTAGCAAAGTGCAAAATATCCCTTTGTCGCCGAACTGCGCCCTGAATTAATTGTATGCAGGCTAAGCTCATGGTGCATTGGTCGTATTTGCTTCGGAGGTAAATGTTTGGTTGTGGACTTCTCTCGGATTTCCCTGTTTCAAGTGCGCTACATAACACACTCTGCTCATGGGTTGTTTTTTTTTTGGAGGAAGCCGGAAATTTTGTTGGAGAAGCTTAGGGAAAGTGATAGGAAGGTGGAAGAGTCAGGAGGATTGTAGGTAGGGAAGGGACGGGGCGGGGTGTCGTGCAGGAAATCTCGAAGGGGTCGCACCCCGCAAAAATTCTCCCCAACACGACGTCCCTAGGCACGTAGCAACCTCAGCCGTTTCCCACCTTCATGAGATTACTAGTGCACGGTATGTCTGGATTTTTCTCTTAGGATTTGTACAAGCAGTGCCCTTTTACGTAGTTGGCTCACAGGCCCTCTTGCCGGTTTCCTAGAGTTATGAGGAGGTATGAGTTGAGCGGGAATAATGTATATTGCCTTGTTAGCCGATATAAACCTACCTGCAACACACGGCTCGGACGAACTGTCATTTTCTCATCATCATTTCCTTTTATGCCTCGAATGTTAATGTCCTAATATTTGTGGTTTCAGATGTATAGAGGAGGAAAGATTTGCTTATCAGACCACTTCAAACCTCTTATGGGCGAGGAACGTACCTAAATTCGGAATCGCACATGCCTTTTCCCTTGGATTGGGTCCTTGGTTAGCGGTGGAGATACCTGATTTGGTTGAAAAAGGAGCAATTACAGCTGATTCATGAGTACAAGTTGGTTTTTGAATCTATTTCACTGCTCTTTTAATTTTTCATCTTCTAGACGTTCCTCTTCTCTCATTAGCTTTTGTAGCCAATCTTTATTGATCTCTTTTTATCCTGGAATGGACTTGTTTTATCACCAGGGTACAGCATCGTGATGTGTGAAATAGCGGTGTCAGCAGCTGGGAGAGAGTCTCGGTACGATCCCCCCCCCCCTCCCCCAGCCTACCTGCGCATTTTCCCCATGTTAAATTTCCCCCAACTTCCTACCACTTTTGAAATTTACCGAAAACTTTCCTGCTTTTCCCCAGGAAATTTTGCTGTCGATCGGGAGGGGGATCTGGTACACATGAAACAGAAAAAATCACGAAAACTCAAAAACCGGGGAAAATTTTTTAACACGGCAGCTTTTTCTTAAAGTCACATACGACTCCCCTCCCCCCTCCCAACAACGACTAGATACGACTCCCCTTCCCAAGCCGAACAGAGCCTCACTCGCCTTTGATTTTCGCCTTGTCTTTTAACATTTCTTCTCTTTTAAGGCCGTCTACATGGTTACGAATCGCTATCATCATTTGCCTGTCGCTTTCGATATTGGGTTCCCGAGGTAATACTTTGGCTGGCTTCAATTTTTTTTCGTATTAGTGTCCCTTGTGTTGCTGAGGTTCAGGCGGTTAGGGAGGGGAGATCGATTGTGCCACAGAATAATACGTAATGCCAGTTATGTAGCCAATCCTATCCGCCTGAGCCCAGTTATGCCACGACGTGGTTGGCAGCCGCGGTACGAGCTCCTGCGTCGAAGCATTTCTGCGACATCGACGCCTGTTGCACGAGACCCAGGCTTTTCGTGCCAGAGTGATAGGTTATTCGCCTTTAGAGCAACGCACGTCCTAGCGTTGGGGAAAATCTTTTCTAAATGCCTCCCCTCCCTATTTTCTCCTCTGGTGCGACGCCATTTCGAAACCGATCAGTCACCTTACCAAAAACTTCCCGTCGGATGGAGGGGGTGGGGGAGTATTGACCTCAGATCAACTATCAAAAATAATATTAGGTTGTCCCAAAAGTTCGTGGACATTTTTTGAATCTCGTATCAGATTTTTCCGCAGCCATTTCGAGATCCAGTTATGTGGTTCTCGAAATGGCTGCAGAAAGATCCAGTTA